TTTGGGGGGGGACCCCCGCCAGTGGCCAGTGTAATCTGTCTAGTTATGGCTAGCGGCCGGCCGGAGACCCCCCGGTGGTTGATGTAATCTGTCAAGTTATGGATCATAACTTGTAAAGTTATGGCCAGAGACTCACCGGTGGCTGGTGTAATTTGTCAGGTTATAGATCAAATAACCTATCATGTTATGGTCGGTGGCCAGCCAGAGACCAACCGGTGGCCGGTGTAATCTGTCAAGTTATGGATCATAAGCTGTCAAGTTATGGCTGGAGACTCGCTGGTGGCCGGTATAATATGTCAGATTATGGCCGGAGACCCGCTGGTGGCCGGTGTAATCTATCAAGTTATGACCAGCCGGAGACCTATAGTGCCGATGTAATTTGTCAGATTATGGTAGGAAATCCGCCGGTGGCCGGTATAATCTGTCAAGTTATGGATCATAACCTATCAGATTATGACCGACCGGTCGGTGATGGGAGACCGTCGGTATGTCCTAGATTTTACCAATGGACCATTGACGGTAACTTTAAAATTTTAAAAATGTTTAATTTAACTATTTTTATTATTTTAGTTGTAAAAGGGTATAAATCAATGAGCTAATTTTTAAGAGTTAGAAATAGATTGAGGTACCTCAAAAGGAGTATTTCCCTTGTTTTCCCTAGATTTTATTGATTATTGCACTCAATAAACGAAAGAAATTGTTGTCATTATCCCTTTCCTTCTTTTGAGTTGGCATCGATGCGTGAGAGAAGGCGGGGAATTGATATAGCATTGGATTTTCTATCGGATTTATCTATACTACATTACACTACATTACTAAAGGAATAAGTTTCTCTCTTGGTATTTACAAAACTCTACGCACGTGTTTTGCAAGGTTTCGCAAGGAGTTTCTTCCTGCATCAGGCGAAACTTTTTTACTTTTTTTTTTGAACCTTTGGGCTTTTTTATTTTAAAAGTCCGGATGAAGACCGACTTAAATCACGAAGGGCAACAAGTTGCGGCTCATCAACAAATTTAACAGGTCTTTTTTTTTTTTTGGTAAGCAAATTTATTAAGTTTTAGGATAACGTACTCTTTGAGATGTCATATGTCAATCAAAAGTCAAAGATAAGTCCTAAAAATTACTTGTAGTAAAAAAATTTCTGACTTCTGATAACAAAATCGTTTCCCTAAAAATTTTGGTATAAAACGCAACCTACAAATTCCAAGAATTCACCAAGAAATTTGGAAGCAAAATTGCAAGCAACAACATTGAATTCAACCCGCCAAAGATCACAAGAATTTATAATCGCCCCCACCCCACCATTGACAACAATTCTAAGCACCTGCTTCAGAAGAAGACCTACTCTGACGGGCATTCCTCAAAAACTGATCCCACCCGCTTCCAGGGCTCGTATCCAAGTAATCGTATGGCACCGCCGTCTTCAATCCCGGCCGAACCTCACGCCGACTCTCCACAATCCTCATTTCCACTTCTTCCCCGAAATTCTGCTCTAGCTCTTCCCATGTGAACATCAATGGCAAAGTAAACCCGCACCACGGATTGAAATCCACAACCTTCACTTTCTCATCTCTGGTCACGTACACGTCGAAAGTGTAGTTCTTCGATTCAAATCTATCCCTCACATTCTCTACGAAGAATCTCCAAATCACAGACCTAATATCTCCTTTCTTCTCCACCAGCGCGGGGTAGAATGTCGTCACCTCACGTTGGGAGATTCCGATCAGGTTCTGATTCTTGACGAAGCAACGGAACTCCATGTCCGGCCGAAGTGACTGGTACCACTTGCGAAGTGCGAGGAAGAACAGTGGCGGACGCGGGGAGACCTTGTCAGTGCAGGAATCGTAAGCGTGGCAGAGGTCGTGGAAGAGCGAGTCCGACGACCGGAGCAAGAGCGCAATCTCAACAAACGACGTGCATTTTAGGGTTCCGGTGGTGCTGATCCACGACGAGTCCTTCGGTGCGCTCCAGTTCAGCTTGGGGAAGACGGCTCCGCCTAGGATTTCAATCGATGCCTTGACGGCCAATTCAAGCTCTGGGAACGACAGCGGCGGCGGCGGCTGTTCTGACTCATCATCATCAGAATTTTCCAGAACCTGGTAATCCTCTTCTTCATCTGGATTGTGGATTCGGTTGGGTAGGGCGTCATCGTTGGTAACGGAAATTGGAAGAAGGAAAGGTCCGGAATTGTCGAGAAGGTAATCGACAAAGGATTGGGGAAGCTCGTGAATTAGGGTTTTGATGGAGACGAATTTGAATTTCGGGTACCATTCTTGAATCTGGCATCGATTCACTTCTTCTTCCTTCATTTTTTTTGTTTTTTTAGTTACTGATTTGTTGATGCAGAAATTGCAAACGAGAAAAAGGGTATGATTTGTTGATTCTCTAAGCTTAGATGCTTTAGGATGTGCCTGCAACATGAAAGAAACTCATCAACATGTTATTTTTCAAATTAAACAAATGAAACTCCACTGTATAGGCTGTCCAAGTGGGATCCTTGTGGTGGAATGGGGTCCTCTTTGTTAGGAGCCCACGTGATTAACATAAAAGAAGTGAAACAGTTCTACAGAGGTCTAAAACCCAAATAAACAAAGAATTTAAATTTGATGTTTTGTGGATCTATAAGCCGTACATCGTAACTTGTAGACCAAGCATGGAATATTTTAAATTGTTGGTGACGAAAAGAGGAAGGGAAAGAGATAAAGGAATAGGAAAAATATCGAAAAATTATGGCCAAAAGAGTCGGGAAGACAATGAGAAAGGAAAAAAAAATTACTCAGAAAAACAGGGAACAAATAAATGAGATACTTCCTAAAATCCTGGTCCAACTAACAACCAAAATTTAAACTACCTAATAATCAGAAATTAAGCTAACTGACTAATAAAAAACCCCTAAAAATCTGATTAACAATGAAGGCAATGTTATTGAATCTTAAGCAATCATAATTTAAATACACATTTCAAAATTTCAGCATCTTGCTGAAATTAGACTAAAAAAAAAAAAAAAAACTAATCCTAGAATTCAGTAGCAAACAAGAATTACAAAACCTACATGGGATCAATTTAGTTTATCAAACGCAGAGCAAACCAACTCTTAAATTAGTCCAAAGTTGAGGAAAAGTGAACATTACCCACTAAGCAGGTATATCAAACTGGTTTTGTAGACTTTTCACGCAAACAACCAAGAGCTGGATAGATAAATATGAATGTACCACCATACAGACACCTTAACGTGAAAACATTCATGCACAATTATTTATTTGTTGAAGTGAAACTCACAAAAGTACGAATATTAGCAAATTAGAACTTCTGACTAATAAGGAAGAATTTGCTGAATTGCAAGTTCTGGAATTAAAATCTGGCAAAAAATTTGTCACTCTGCCAGCAGATGTACGCACTTTGGCCTCATTATCTCAAAGCAATTGCACATATTCAAGGACATTCCTTTGGATAAAATAATTAATCATATCTTCAATATACAATCTAGCGAAAGATATATAATCATTATACAACCAGACAAGGAAGTCTGGCTTAGCCAAAAAAAAATAAGGTTTAAATTGTGTCATGTTCATTTCACAAGTCAAATCACAACTCAAGTTTTATTGTACAGTATTTTCTCTCACAAAAAATCAAATTTTACTTTTTTACTATAGTGTTTTTCTCTCACATACACAACTCAAGTTATAACTCAAGTTATGACTTCAGTTGTGAAATATTTTTCACTCTTAATTTTATTAAAAATACATCTAAATTGCAACCATGGACGGAGCATACCAAGACTTTATCTCTTCAGATATAACGAAATGCATGCTTACAGAATTAGCAAAACGAGCATCAGATTATCTGTTTGAATGCATTGGACAAGACTTACTCTTAGTTTCTCTTTCCATTATTTTTCCATAGACAGGAAATCTTAAACCTTTTTTGAATACAATAAATGATTAAATTCCTAATCTTTGTTTCTATTGCAGTTATCCATACCCCTGTTTCCTGGAAAGATTTCTACTATACCGATACATAATATAAAGGGTCTTTTTGAGTGTTTTGAATAATTTAATCATCATCTCATAGTCAATACTGGTACTTTTCTCCTGAAATTTGTTAAAAAACCAACGAATGAAGAATTTCCCAGAATGCATTGGGCCTCAAATCTAAACCATAAACCATGAAATTCAATTCGGAGCTTTTTGCTGAAATCTAGACAAGAAACGGTAAACGAACTATATCAACAAAAATTTACAAATTGAAAATTACCTGAGCAGTCAATCTTAAAGTGATTCAGTATTGGAGTGGTTGGTAGAGTGGGTTTAATCCCAAATCCACCAAAAAAATGCACAAAAAATTTCCCAAGAATTCTATCAGAGAACTTCATGAACCTTTCTATTTACAAAGTCTCATCTAATCACTTTGAAATCGAACAAAAGGATGAAATATCCTTAACAAAAATAGAGAGAGGAGTAAAGACTTACCGTCGGAGCTTCAGTCCGCCGGCGTCGGAACTTCACCCGCTGTCGGATGCCAAACCCTAGCAGAGAAGAAGGAGGAGGAGGAGGAACAGGAGAGAAAGAGAGAGAAAGGTGAAGAGGAAGAAGAGGAAGAAGAAGAAGAAGAAGAAGAGCCAGAGAGAGAGAAGAGAAGAGAGAGACAAGTGAAGAGCGAGAGAGCGACGAGGGTTGAGAAATAAAACCGGAAAGATTTTCCCCACATAAATTTCATTTTTCTCACCATTTTTTTTTAGGAAAATAGAATTCAGAGTTTACTTGAGTTTTCTCCCTTTTTTTTTTTTAATATTTTTTTCATCCCTTATGTTAGTTCCAAACTAGGGGAATGCACGAGTATATAATAGTTTAATTATCAGTAATTTAAATAAATAAAACGTATAAAAATACACATATATATTTATAAATTGTGGTACATTTGTAACATATATATATACATATTTATTTATATATTTATATTTGTACATAAAAATATACATACTTATTTATATATACACAGAGGTTTATTCATATAATTATTTTTTTTTCTTTTCGTTTATTATTTCTTCTGAGCTGCAAATAAGAATGAAGAAAATAAGAAAATAGTTATTATTAAATTGTAACAATTGTTAATAAATATGTTCATATTTACTAAAATATTTAATATAATATATAACACATGATTTTTCTTAATTTTTTTTTTTTTTTTTTTTTTTGATGAACTTGCGAAAGAGGTAGATTCGTGAGCGACTGAAATAGACTGAATTGGCTTTAAAACTGATGTTGTTTCTTTTGAAGACCCAGTTGTTGTAGGTGGTAAATACTAAATACAACTGAGGTTGAAAGAAAACATAAAACTATACTATTTAAAAAACACACTAATAATATAAACGTTGACAAATAACATATGTAGTAAGACATTGATTCAAGTATTTATTCTCTGCTCTACCAATAGAAAAATGGCTGAACAATATAGTTGGCTATCAAATATATTATTACAGAGTTTAGATAGAATATCAAAGAAATAAAAATAATAATAAAATTATAAAACAGAAACAGGAGTAAAAAGAATAAAGAAGTGAAGTTAGAAGAAAACAGAGAGAATATATAATATGATAAAAAGAATGACAAAAGATAAACGGTCTAAGAAAAAATAATAGAAAGAGGAGAAACATACTTCATTATCACAAAAATAATAAGAAACCCCAAAATAAGTTCGAAGAAGAAAAGTGAGAATAATGATAAAATAGATAAAACACATAGAGAAGAAGAAAGAAAATAAACAGATAAGGTAAGAACAAATAAGAAATAAAGAATTAAAGCAGAAAACAACATGATAGAAAAAATAAGATTTGAAATGTTTAGGTAGATAACATTATATATATCAAATAATCCATATAATATTAAAAACAAAAATACTATTAACAATTGCTAACTAACGGTGATAAAAAATGAATAGAATGAAATAAATTATATACAAAAACTGTAACTAATAAATCACATAAAAACTAACTCCAGTGATGACCTAGGATAATAAGATTTAGAACTTGCATTCAATAATAACGAAATTTCTACACCCGTGTCATCTAGCATTTGGTGGAATTATATAGTAATACTTAGTTTTCATATTGTTTACTTTATATGTGTACTAAGAATCAAGTACAGTTTCCTTAGAAATTCATTGTTTTTTATGTAATGTTGCTTTCCTTGTAGACAATGTTTTGTCTGTGACCATTAGCAAATTTTTCAAGCTAGGGCTTCATCAATGCTATTCTTTGTTCTTTGTTGGCCCAAATGCATGTTTCGTTCCCCAAATGCCTTTATTTATATGCTGCTTGTAACATCATAAAAGAAGCACTATGAACAATTATGGAGTTTTCTGTAAGAATTATAAAAAAAGTGAATTATTAATAATTTTTTATTGTCAACCGTTAATTTTTTTTATCATAAACGGTTTATTTTGTATAATTTTTTAATTTAATGTAATTTTAATCTAATTTAATAATAAAAAATTAATACTAATTAGCCGGCTAGGAAACTCCCGGAACAATTATTACAAATAAATAAATAAGACTCCCAAATGGAATGGAGGAGTGAATACTGAAGATCTTTGTTTATATACAGTATTTTTAGCAGAGAAGAGAAGGGAGGAATCTATGCCCACCATATGTTTGTAAAATTGTTCCATACAACACAACACAAACAGAACAGAACAAACCAACAAAAGAAAAGACTTGACCCCACCACCCTTTCTCCACATAATACAACGCCAAGCAAGTCTAAACACTAGAATAAATATAGTGAACAAAAATCTGAGGAAAAAAAATCGGTTAAAGGATGAAATAATTCAAAGTGGAATAATAAAACACCTACAACTAAGAAGCAAAAAGATTGGTTACTGTTAAAAAAACATAAACACCTTAAACCAAATAATATAAAGATAAATCTTCAATAATCTGGGCAAGAGCAACAGTTGCTAAATTACTATTAATAAGTACTCAATACATGGTAATAATTCCCGGGCATTCATGTATTAAAAATAACTTAAATATGATTCACTATTGTCATTGGCTATCAACTGAATTATTGAAAGACTTACACTAAATAACAGAAAAAAAAAAATTATTAATAACTATAATAGTGAACGAAAACCTTAGAAAAAAATCTGTTAAAGAATGAAATGGTTCAAAGTGGAGAAAAATAAAACATCTGCAAGTAAGAAGCAAAAAGACAAAGACATCAAAACATATAAAAGGAATGGTTCAGGTATTCATCTTTTTTTTGCTACCAACATGTATCAAAAGTAACTCAAATATGATTTAACATTGTCATTGGCTGCCAGCTGAATTATTGAAATAGTTATATTAAATAACAGATAAAAAATTTATAATAACTGTAGATGAACAAAAAGAAAAACAAAACGAAAAAACTGAGTAAAAATTTAAAAAACTAAAGAAAAAAATAAAGTGTAACCAATTTAAAAAAATTTGAAAAAACCAAAAAACAAACTTAAATTTTACTTGGACAGGAAAAATGAATACATTGAATCAAATAACAACGAAATAATAAAAAACGAAGGACAAAAGGAAAAAAATAGAAAATAAGAAACTTCAGAAGTTAAATCACAGTTAAATGATTATAACTTCCTACCAAATAACAAACACTAGAGTAAATATTGTGAACAAAAACCTTAGGAAAAAATTCGGTTAAAGGATGAAATGGTTCAAAGTGGAATAAAAAAACTAAAACACCTACGACTAAGAAGTAAAAAGATTGGTTATTGTTAAAAAAAATGCCTTAAACCAAATAATATAAGGATAAATCTTCAATAATCCGGGCAACATCAACAATTAGTAAATCACTATAAACAATTACTCAATACATGGCAACAATTCTCGGGCTTTTTTTTTTTTTTTTTTGCTACCAGCATGTATCAAAAGTAACTGAATTATGATTCAACATTATCATTGGCTACCAGCTGAATTATTGAAAGACTTACACTAAATAACAGAGGAAAAAATTTTAATAACTGTAATAGTGAATAAAAACCTTACAAAAAAATCAGTTAAAGAATGAAATGGTTCAGAGTGGAATAAGAAAAATAAAATATTTGCAAGTAAGAAGTAAAAAGATTTGTTATTTTTCAAAAAACATAAACACCCTAAACGAAATGACATAAGGATAAATCTTCAATAATCCGGGCAACATCAATTCTTGCTAAATCACTATTAACAATTACTCAATATATGGCAACAATAAAGAGGAAAAACATCATCACCACCAAGGACCAATAGATTTTTAATAGAGAATAAAGATTTAACAAAACAATAAAAATGATAAAAAATTTTGAAATAAACGTAACTACAAACTTAATGTAAATATAATTATAATAATGTAAAATAGTGAATACATATATTAATAATTTAATATAAATAGTTAAAGAATCATAGTAATATAATATGTGTAATATTAAAAGCAATTAGAAATGAGGTGGAAGAAGTAAGAAATAAGTACCTTAGAACAATAACGAAAGTGGATAGAGTTGATACAGAAGAAGTAAAAACACTTCAAAACAGAGATAACAAAAGGAACTCACTAATGAAAATTAAAGAAAATGAAGGAAAGAGAAAAGATAAACGATAAGTATATGGAAATGAGGTGGAAAAGGTAAGAAATAAGTACCTTAGAGGAATAACAAAAGTGGATAGAGTTGATGTAGAAGAACTAAAAACACTTCAAAACAGAGATAATAGAAGGAAAAAAAACTCTCTAATAAAAATTGAAGAAAAGGAAGGAAACAGAGAAGATAGACGATAAATATATGACAACGAAAGCAGAAGCAAAGCAAATGACTATAAGCATGAAAGAGAAAACAATATATTTATATGAAGAAAATAAATGTTTGAGCATATGGTGGTAGTAAATACTGTAAACAAAACTTAATACTACCGTTATTACGCTGTAAAAAAATATAATAATTTATTAAAAACAGGTGTTACGTTGCATGATAAATACCGTGGAACAGAACGAATAACCGGCAAACAGTCAAAATAAAGTATTTCGTTAGAAAAAATTACCATGCACTAAAAACAAATGTCTAAATATTCCGGACTAATATAACCTGTGAAAAAAAAGTTAATAATTAGTAAAAATAAAAAGTGAATTAAAAAAAAAGAAGAAAACAATTAACAGATAACAATAACAAATAATACATCTGGAAATAAAAATACTAATAAATCTAGAAATACGAAAAAAACAAATTTTAAAAAATTATAATAAAAAATGAAACCAAATCTATAAAAACACGAACAAATATGGAAAAACATAACATTAAAAAATTTCAGAAACACTAACAGATCTGGAAAAATGAAAAACGGGAAAAAAACTAAGGCAAATCTAAGGAAATTAAAATGGAAAACAAAACTACAAAACAAAACAAACATAAAAGATGAATCCCAGAAGTCTTACAAAAAGGGAAAAAAAAGTGAAAAAAACTTCACAAAAATAACCAAATGCGGTAACATCCCACAAACGTCACTAACATATATGGAAGGGGAAAAAACCCCGAATACAAAATAGAAAGAAAAACTAAGCTAAATCTATAAAAACACTAACA